TTAAAGAATGCAAATGTTAAATAAACAATAAACCAAGCCCATCCTAAACGAACACCTTAAAAACGGAGCAGCAATGCCAAGGAAGCCCATTCCTATCAATGAATAATCTATTGTATCTAAGCCCTTGAAAGGCAACATGGCCGAACAAGAAGAAAATAAATGAAAAAAAGGAAATGAAAATAGGGGAAAATAAAAGTTTTAAGTCAACTTCAACAACACTAAAATAAACATGTTAACCAGCGTTCAGACGCATAATAGGAAGAAAAAGTCACCTTTCATATCGCAATAACAATTTTTGAGTTTCGAAAAATTAATTCATTATCATTAAAAAACCAGGTGTACTTACTTTCTTGCCAGCTTCCGAAGCAAATACCACCGTTACCAGTAAGAAAGTGAAGTGGAAACAATAGGTGCACATGACCATTGCAAGGGAATATACGTCAGAAGCATAGAGGAGACGATGATAATTAACAGCAGGGATCATAAATGGACCCTTCACTCTGCATTGCATGTAATATTTATCTTGCGTTATATTTTTCTATGGGGCGACGGTTGTAGCTCTAGAATCCACCCGACTTAATGTTTTATTACAAAGAATTTTTCATTTATGCTGAATTTAATATTAATTTTATTTGTTAATTAGTAAGAACTATATTTGAGTGTCTAGAGAGCTGAAGCCTCATTAACTCTCCTCTTTGATTGCGCCAATGAGCACGTTTGTTTCTGAAATGTGAAACTTCAAATTATATTAGTTCACTTAGAATGCCATGGCATGACTTTGCGAATTTGCAAAATATGTGAGTTGTTTGATGTTGCGCTGGACTAGTAGGAAAAAATGAATACAGAGAATGGCGTACTGAATCATCACCATTAGCTGTTCGGAGTTAAAATTCACATTTTCGAAGAATTTGCCTATACGATGTAAGCAAAGGAACACACTTGCTTAAATTGTTTTAACGAACAGCTGATATCAATCGTTTTCACAAGTAACAATCGAGAAATCGGCTTAGTTAGCCAAATTGCATAACTATGCTCCGTGAAGTCACAGAAGTTAAGCAATTCGAAATACCTAAGATTCCTGAACGGATACCGTTAGGGAACCCCGTTTATTGACGGCGCCAAGACGCGCACCGAAGTAATAAAAGGTATTCACTGACTGCGACGGTACGAGACGAAGACCAAACTTGACGGAGGATTACTCCGAATATATACGCTCAATGTTTAAAAAGTTAAGAGATGTCTTGAAGAAAAAAGAAGAAAGAGAGAGCGAAACTTAAATATTAAAGAAACATATCCGTTTGTACGTAACTGAATTACCTAAAAGTAAATTGTGATTTTTACCTCTTGTAGTCACTTATTGTATATTTATGTCGGCATACGATGATGATTTTATGCTCTATGAAATTTGTTCACAATCTTTTCTTCCTTGTTTGCGGTGAATGTCGTTCTTGTTCATTCTTTTAATCAGTTTTAGCTGTAAAGACTTACCTTGCAAAAGGAGATCGTACCACGATCTCTGAGACCTTAGTGGGAAGCAACATAACGCGTGTCCACGTATAATTAATAGTATACACATCCATCATGATGCTGCTACACTTACAACGATTACATGAAGTGCTACACTTACAGCGGTCATTTTCATACTTGTAAGTACACTTTTCGCTTCTAAAACTGTATTGAGGTAAGAGGTGATTTGTACTCAATAACATGCGATTAACACATCGTATTTCTTTTTATTGTAGGCAAAATTTTGCGTTTATTAATTTGAAATAGTGTAGTAATTGTTTCTCAGAATGTTGATTGAAATCATGAATCTTGACATTCGTTTGAAATGGAAGCCGGCACGTATGCAAAATTGGAGCATGTAATCTGTATTTTCCACAAATGGGATACATTTATCATTTAAGCCTTCTCTTGACTTCATGATGTGCCAGTAATCGTCTGTTTTAATAAACATCTAGGTTGGAAAGTAACAATGAGACGAGTCCATCCGACTCACACTAACCAATTCTTTCAAGATTTCGAAGTTTCCAACATATTCGAACAACGATATTTCTATATTTCGAGCTTAAACACCAATGTGCCCGTAACTAATGACAATACACACGCACTCGAAAAATTCGATGGAAATAATTCTCTTACCTGTTAGAATTTTAAATATTTGTCAATTTGGCATATTCACATATTCTTACTCGTTTTCGTTTCCTCGGCGTTAATATATCGTTCCCAATTCAGAAATTGCATTTATGTTGCGTTAACTTATGTGAAAATGTTACTCTTCATTTCTTAACGCCTGTAGATTCTCGAAAAATATAATCACTTGGCAAAATATATATTATAATATATACTATAGCAATTTGTCATGTGCTACTGTCATCTACAAATGTTCATTTTCTAAAAGACATAATATTTTTCCTTTCTAAAATTTGCAAGTTCCTCTCGTTTTTGTGTTTGGTGTTTTACATTTTTGTTTAGAACTCTATTTCAATGGAATTTTCACACGGAATACTGGAGCGCTCGTCATACTTTGTACTGTAATTTAAAGATGAGGGCACCATGTCCGAAGTTAACACAGAAAGAAGTTTTGTTCCACCCCAAATTTTGAATGAAAGATGGCATGCGTAATGAACTGTACATGAAATAACCGCTCATAACTTACTGTTAACAGAAACACAAGTACTTCATTAAACAGCTCAATAGAGCTAAACGTTTTCATAGGACTTGAATGGCAAAGTGTTCATAAAACACGCGTTTTGCTCGTAATCTATGATTGTTTGAGAAGAATAACTTCATAGAAGAAACTAACCTGTGGATCAAAGACTATTTCCACTTTACTCTCCAACAATCGCATCTCCGGCCACTGTGCGGGGGCGTCTGTCGGCGGGGGAGGCATGGGCGGCGGCAGCGCCTCTTGATCAGCGGAATCGGCCGCCCCCGCCGCCCCCGCCGCCGCCCGGGCCGATGCAGCGCCGGAGCCGTCTCTAACGTGCCTCGATGACGCTGCGAATTCCTTCGGGGTCGAAAGCGGCATCAGTATGGCTTCTCTTGTATCAACAAGACGTAGCCAGCCTGACCCCCCGTGTGTTAGGCTGGCGGCGTGCCTCCGAACTCAATGAGCCTCGCCAACTGGGGCTTACACAACTGCACTTTCCCATTTTATTATTGCGTTTGAATTTACTGTATTTGCCCGGAGCAAACAAATATTAGTACACAATTTCAGGACCTTTCCCAAAGTCTATTCAAAATATTGTTACACCGTGAGATATGTTTGACAAAATATGTACGCTTATTGCAATCAAAGCTTTTTGAAAACGTGTGTACTCGTTCCCCGGCGGCGGCTTTGATGTCGTGTTATGGATGCCCGACGAGCGTGGGGTTGAGACCTCGGAGTGGGGGACGCACTACAGAGAAAAGGAGCTTGAGTTTGCCTTGGAGCCACCTTTATTGGCTAGGCAGACAGATGAGCAATGAAGACAAACGAATTGATAAAAATTTGCGCACGACACGATGTTGTAACTTGTCGTGAGAAGCAGCGCTGTGTACCGAGCCGTGCGTCCCGCCGCCGGCGCGGGCGGCGCAGGCGGGGCCGAGGAGGGAGCGGGAGGCGGGCGGGCGCGGGGGCGTGGCGCGGAGGCGGGCGGGAGAGGGACGCTTCAGTCGGTGAGTGACAGTCCGGCGCCGACGACGGCCCGAGAAAAGGAGCTGGGGAGAGGAGTTGGTCAGCGGGGCGGGGCGGAGCCGGGCCGGGCCGGGCCGGGCCGGGCCGGGCCGGGTCGGGCGGAGCGGGGCCGAGTTGGCGACGCGTTTGTGAGTGTCCCCGCCGCCAAAGCCGCGCAGGACCTCCCCCTCCCACTCCCACACGTCAGAGCCCCGGCCGTCGCCGCCGCGGGCTCTGACGCCGTCGCCGTTGCCGCTGCTCTCTTGGTCGCCCTCCGCATTCGCCCCTCCACCTCCCCGCAGCCCGCTGGCGCCACCGACCGCTGCTGACGATGACGACGACGCTCCCACCGCGACGGGCCCTTCTGTGAAGTCGACATCCATGGGATCGCCTTTACAGCCCAAGTCTTTGGAGGATTAATGCAGAAGCGCATTAAGTACTTGCTTAAGTCCTCCATAGATTAGGTAGCACAATATTTATTTTTAAAAAAACTCCATGAGCTCATGAATATAGAAACACATTTTAATTTTCAATTTTTATGTGAAAAATATTATACTGGATTGATTGATAGATTGGTATTTCCTGGTGCGTCAACTGGCCTATGGCCATTTGTCCTATATGTTTAGTGTATGCTATATCTCTCGAGGTGGCGGTTTCCCCTCTGGAATCCGAGATCTGGCATCGACCTACACGTCGGTTTGTGGAGGACTTGCCTCCAGGTATCTCCCTTCAGCGGTATATCACCTAGAAACGACAATCTCTAAGTTCTTGACTGGTCTGCCGACATGTGCGGTAGTGTAGTGCATGTTTGTATGTGTGTGTATAAGGGGAGAGGAGTGAATAATGCTGGAGAGTTCCAGTTCGATTCGGGGCCCATTTGTTGAGGTTCTGTTATGGCATTTGTCTGGTATCAATCGGAGAAACCGAGGAAAACTACCGATCAAGGCAGCACGCAGCTGGAATTCCATTAATGCCATTCATGGAATGCAAGATTACTCTATTAGTAGGTTAACAGCTATGTTCTGCACTTAAGCCAATGGACAATTTCCTACTATCACGCTATTAAACTTAACTAATTTTTAAACCATATTAAAAAAAATGTCTTTGTCACTTCTAGGTGAGTAGTTGAAATGCCATTTTCTCGACGATATTTGAAGGTGCAGTAGGTCGCATACTTAACATTGACTGTAATCTTTCACATTTCAAGATGCGTGATGCCACGAAAAAAACTTCGTAGCTGAAGATTCGCGGTGTGTGATATTCCCAAATACAATGAAATGTTTCTATTGATATAATCTGTTGACGATAACGGGGGACGTTTATGGAACTTTCTTGTAGCAGAGCGACGAAGAAGAGGTATACCGAGCCGTATAAAAATGACGATGCAGAGGCAGATTTTCAGAGAATAGTAAAGGCTGGAGTATTTGATAGTGTTGAGTTCGGGCTCGAGGAGGAGGAGGAGGAGGAAGGGGAGGAAGCAGAAGATGAAAATGGAAATGGTAGAGGCAATGCTGCTGTTGACGAACGAAAGAAGAGAAAATGCCGCAAGTGAGGCTAATCCTAATAAACACGAACGATTTAGTTTGATCATGACAATTTATGAACGGAAAATTCAAATTCTATTGGTGTCATTATTTTGAATTAATCATGGTGTAGAAATGTAATGGGTAGGAACAGTACCACATAAGATAACACATTGCCTGTACTGGCATAAATAAAGAATTGATAAGTGAAGAATTACCAACAAATCTGTTCATTAAGCCATTTTATAATTAATCTTTCTTAATTAGGAATATTTTTTGATATGCATGGACAATTCAGAAGGATCTATGAATGCAAGCTTGGCCATGTGACCGCATATACTACTATATTGCTACCGCGTATACTACGTTTATATACAGCAACTTTTTTCTCAAATACTTCTATCTAATTTGTCAGGTGACCCGCCCGTCTGCACATATTATACAGTTATCGTTATCTCGAACTACTTGTCAGTTATCACTTCAACCCCGAACGCTTGCATTTTGTACACTGTCCCTTGAACAATCTTTCTCTTCATTTTATTAATCACCAACAAACATATTCACCTCCGCCGTCATGTCCGTTAAAAGCAGACACCGTAAAAAATACTACATCGTAATCAGGTTCATAAGCTGAACACTTTCATTACCTTTAACTAAACAATGGGACGCTGATTGTCCCATTGTTAACTACTGCTTCCTTGCCAACCGTCATCACTTTCACCGTCACCAGCGATTCAAATGCTATTTTCCTTACCTTCAGCTTTTACAACTTGTTCATCACATCTATTCTCTCAACCACATCCTTTATCACTTGCATAGTAATCGACTCTCCGTCAGAGACTTGTGAAGTCATTATAGGCGCAACAAACAAAATTACAGAACCACGGCTTTTACCTCCACCGCCTCCATCTCCACTGCATCTACCTCTATCGTCTCAATCTCCTCCACTACCTGCCGTCTGAACCACGGGTTTTACCTCCACTGCCTCCATCTCCACTGCTGTCACCTTCCTTCGTCTTCTCCTCGATCGCCTTCATCTCTTTGATGTGACCTTCATCCTCGCCGGCAATACGACTTTAAACAGCTCCATTACTACCATCATGGCGTAATGCCTAGCGCATTCGCGTTCTACCACTGAGGCCGGTGTTTCATCGCGGGCCAATCCATTTGGACATTGTGGTGGACAAAGCAACATCTCAGCAGGTTTTCTTCGGGTTCACTCGTTTTCTCGGCCTCTTACCTCTTTATTCCTTCATCATCATTCACGAAGATATTTTTCTAGATCCAGAACGTATGATACAACGGTTTTCGGATACATCTGACAGCGGAACACTTTAGAACACAATATTTGGCAGCATAACGAAGAATCTGTAAAAGGTAAATAAGTAAAAGCTGAAAAAGCCGTAAAAGCTGAAAAAGTAAATAAAAAATAAGCGATGGTCAGCTTGCTAGCTTTTTGTGAAGCAGTCCCGATTCGATAACCGTCTGGGGCATAAAATCAAACTGTAGCTTTCCAATTCAAATCGTCTGTTTCTATAGCTGTGTGAGGAAAACAAAAGCTTGGGTAGGCAAAATATGCTAGGTACGACGAGGTGAATACATCGTGCTCGGCACATGACTACCTTACCATCATGTTTGGAAAATAAAAACGGGGCCCAGGCCTGGGAACACCGCCCCACGTCTGGTTAAACCAACCCCAAATGCAAAATACATACAGGTATATAATAAACAAATGTCACTTCCACCATCTCCACCTTCACCGCCTCCGCCTCCGCCTTGCCGGCGCCGCGCCACCCGTTGATTGACGCAACGCGGCGGGCGCGCGGGCGCCAGCCGGCACGGCGATGTGTGCGGAGGCGACCGTTGTTTGGCAAGCGTTGGAGGCGGCCAGGGCGTGGGCGAGGGCGGAGGGGCCGGCGGGGCCACGTGGGGCCTCGGTGGCGACACCCTGCCCTCGGCCGCGCCGCTCCTCGTTGCGGACGCCGCGACGCGACGCGAGGTCCATCGACTGCCGAGAGATTTTCCTCGGGGGGCGTCCATAAATTACGTCACGCTAAAGAGAGAGGGCAGGGGGTTTGAGGCTCCGTTACGCTGCGTTACATCAGAATGACGGGTATTAGTTTATTTTACGAAACATTGATTTTTTTTTTACTTTTCAGCATTTGCTGACAACTCCTTTTTTAGTCTTATGCTAGACATTAAAATAATAACTAATTAATTTGCTTTAACGCGACAACACATACTGAGAGACAAGGGACAAACAACCATGCCCACGGCGGGACTCGTACCCTCGACCCTTCAGACCGAAGTGTTAAGATCAGTACACGCTCTTAGCCACCTCGGCCATTGAAGTTGGCACGAATTGTTTTTGTATGTATGTATGTACTTGACGCGACAGCCCGTGAACGGATCAGGCTTACCGGCGACTCTCGCGGCCATGGGTTAAGGGAATAGTTCGCAGGCATCTCCACGCTGTATTTCGGTCTTCTCAACCTAAGAAGTGAATTTGCTCATCGTCACACAGCAACAGACACTGGGACATTACAAGGAAAACGCACACAATAATCTTGTCTGACCTCAAATCGAACCCGGGGCCGTGTAGTGAAAAGCGAGAACGCTGACCAAGCGCAACATACACAAATTGTTTTTTTGTGCTATGATTATTTTGATTTCTTGCATTTGCAAAGGGGGTGTCGGAAACGATACGTAATTATTCAGGAGAATTCAAGGCCGCGTTACGAGAGTGATGCAGGGTGGAGAGGGGGTCTTCGAAACAATCCCAATTTGCATTATGTAATTTATGGACGTACCCTCCCGCGGGCCGGCGCGACGCGGCGATTTCGTGCGTCTCAAAGCGGCGGAGGGTACGTTGCGTGAAAGGCTTCGCTCTTTCCACGGAGCCGCAGCGACTGTGTGCTGTCTTCATTCATTCGCGGTTCTCGATGGATGACAAGAATGGAGCAATGGCAAAGGCCAAGAATTGGAGCAAAAAATACAAGAGGAAGAAATCCGGTCACGTAGTGTTAAGGATTGGTAACTATTAGGGAGAGGATTTTTATGCCATAAAAAATCTTGAAATGTTCTGTTAAAAATATCGAAATGTGCTCTTTAATGTGCAATACAAATTAACAATACTTCATTTCCGGTATAAACCTTTCTTGATAAAATTCAGGAGAAGCATGCTTGAAATGCAAAGAGAGATTTCTGTGCAAACAAAGTACTTCTAGACTGCGCAAGAGAAATAATTGAAGTAAATATTCACCTTAATAAAGTACGTTGTATGTCTTGGTGCATTTCTTCTGTCTGGTTTCAAAATGTGTATATCAAAAAATATCCTACACTTGCACAAGTAATGTATCATCTATAGAAAAGACAAAAACGCAAACTGTGACAAACTCATTCTAATCAATGAACATTCGCAAATAAATAATAGATTCGATGGAAAGATGAAACGTTTTACAAATACAGCTCTATTTTTACGAAATATGCAAATTATGCGACTATAATTAGAGGAATATGCACCAACAGGAAAAATTATCCAAATATGCACAAATATGCACTACATAGCTTCCAATTCTAACCATACGTCAAAACATTTCACTTGGCTGTATCCTGAAGCAACCGACAAAAATATGCAAAATCATAGAAATCCACTCCCTAGTAATTAAGTTTGAGGAACAGAAGTACAATATCCCATTTTATTCTGAGGTTTGTGCATAACAGTAAAATTGTGTTATAGTTTGTTACAGCAACGGTACACAAGAAATGTCACACAACAAAAAATTGCAATTTGTTAATTATGTGGAGTACTATCAGCTACTGCAAGGTCTTCCTTCTGAAGGTTCGGGCAGGTTAGCATGCGTCGGTTGGGTAAGTCTTTCGATTGTTGGCCGGTCTGTTTGCACATCATTCTACACTACTAGCCACTCAGCCGCAATGGTCTTTTGAGAGGAGGTCTACTAGTGAAAATTCAACAAAATACCTTCGATGAAAATAAGTTATTTTTACATGACATTTTGCAACACACTTGTACAGGACCCCTAGCTCTCTCTCCAACTACGTACCTACCCTGAGCAAAACGTCAACTTAAACACTGCTCTTTGGGCTAAGACTTCTAGACACTTTGGACTTCATTTCTGGACACCTCCACATGTTTCACCTACTGATATGTATAATTTGCAGAAGTGTTCGTTCGCCCGTTGCTCAGACTACATTATCGGTTTTCACTGCCCGCAATTAAGTGCCCAGCACAGCAGACTCCTTAGTTCTGCTTACTGTCATGCAAATTCCTATTCCAGGAGCGAACTTCACTGATGTGTGTACGGGGGGGGGGCAGTAAACTAACTCCCTAATACCAAATAAGCGGGTTCCTAATCGGCATTGGACAGTGGGAAACCCTCGGCACGCCCTGTAAAAGATCTCTAAACAACGGAAAAGACATATCACAAGACTATAGAAGAGATGCAACACAACTGAGCTACATTCAGGAACTACATATGCTCTTAGACCGAATTAAAATTGCCCCAAAAACATCAACTGACCTTCAGAAACAGTATACCAACCATCAGTAAAAAGCGCAAAATATTAAAGTTTTCGGGGAAGCCCACGGCATGGGAGAATGGGGCAATCACGTGACCCTATTTTCACAACAGAGCTCTCTACCGCGCTACCAGTCTGCGAGAGAGCTAGTTTTAAGGGAGAAGTCACGTGATCCTACTATCGAAGCCGAGCTCACAACCGCGCTAGCAGTTTGAATCATTAGTACATAGAATCTACGGCCAGGTATCTCTTCCGTGGCCTCCCTCACGCCGAATCTTATGCATTCGAATCAATCTGAATGTTGTCATATTAATGTGCATAAATTCGTGCCTGCAAATTGCCTATATAGTTGCAGTGCAATTGAGCAAATTTGAGTGTAATAATTGATCATTTGTGTTGATAGAGGGAGAAAATGTTACGGTTACCTCCGGGGAGCAATGCATGTTAACTATGCTTTAAATTTGCGCCACTGAAAACCACCTTAGCTGGGGAGGAAACGCCCTTTCTCGAAATCACTTACATAAATCTAGAAAACATTGCTCTGTACATTAGAGATAATAATTACGGGATTATAGTAAAAATACAATAATCAGAATACCTGTTACAAAAGAGTACTACAATTTGCCTGAGCCTATAATGTTAGAGATCCTTACAATATGTAACAAGTCTAGTATATTGGTTTCATATTTTAACTATGATATTTTGGTATTTTTATATTATTTTCGGTATTACATTTTATATTAGAATTAAACACCTGCACATGAATCATTGATTGTTTGCAAACATTTTACTTATTTTAATTTTGTTATAGATTATTGATAATCAATTATTTAAAAATATTCACCATCTAAGTAAGTAAATGTGGTGTATGTGATTACGTGTACACGAAGAGAAGTATAATGCGGTGTTGTGATATGAAATGCAGCGCCGAGTGTAAAAGTAGATGAAAGAGATGGTTCAGAAAATGAAGTGACTTGATGTACACGTGGAGTGCGGTGTGAACTGAGTTACAAACAATAACGTACTCTTAATTACTGAAAATGTTTTTGTTTCTATGTTTCGTTTTTCTTTCTTTTCGCGCTTATTAGTAAAATTTATTTACATTTCACCCCTAGTCACAATTGAAAGTTCCAACAATTAGTGGCAATATGTTTGCCGTCTCGCAATTGCCAAGACTCCTAGCTACATAAAAGAAGTAATGTTGCAAATGATATTTAGCTGTTCACTCAGCGGACCCATTTTCGATTCCCGGCTGGGCGAGTCAATTCTTTGAACAACATTTGTCAGCTATTTGCAATATTATAGTAATTATTAATTTATTTCTGACAGCAGTCCAAGTACTAATATTCAGAATAATTCTGTGTATTCCTTACCAAGATAATTTTTTGGTAGAATTTACTGATTTTATGGAGCTCTATGCTTTTGCTGTAATTACACCATCGAAGCAGCAGTGAATTTTATTTTTATGATTTCCCACTCCTTTAATTTGGTAAAAGCCGATTTCTTACCTTCTCGAAAATGTGCAAGAAATAAAGAATATTTTTTTAAACTGGCATCAGTATTAAGTATTACTTTGCTTTTAATATTATAAAATACGAGTAGGAAATTATTTCACTGATATAAACTGCTTGTTCCCTGATCATATTAATAGGATTCACAACATTTTGTTTCCAGAACTGAAAGCGAGAAACTTCGTCTCTCCAAGGCGATCTGCGATGGATAACTTCGTGCCTTCTACTGAGCAAAACCTAACATTTGCTGTCAATACGTCGATGGATAATTATGAATCACTCCCGCCGGCTGGTGAGCAAAACTTCTTTTGTACTGTTAGACAAACATAAGATTTTTTGTTATAATTTTTTATTTTTATAAATAATAACCATGGTTGTTCCTTTAACAGAATTGATATATTTTTAAGTTCCTAAGGTTACAGAATGCTTCACGCTACAAAATAGCATAATTGTGTAAGAGTGTCATTTTTTCGATAATGATATCCTTTGGCTAATGAGACATCACTGCACCACTTAAAATTAGGGACCTCGTCTGCTCGTTAGAAAGTTGCCGAGATAATTTTTCACTTTTTTATTATTATTATTTCAGAACACCAATTTTGACACCGCGCCACTATGTATACATTTAACTTTGCCTTGCACATGTCAATTCAGCACATGAAATATTGCGGTCTTGACTACCTGTGGACAGTTACTACTGCAATGAGGTCGTAATGACCAATACTGTCGAAAGGACCTGTAGTAAAAAGCCGTTTCGAGGTTATGAAACGAACAGCGAAAGATGAACAAAGGCGAGATGCGTGAAGTCATCTTGCAGTAAAGCAGTGAAATGCACCCAGGAATGCGATTACGATGCTAGGAATTCCCTTCGTACGTGCCTAAGAAACCAACACATCTTGCCAATGGCGGCGAGCAAGAGCGATTGCCGTATTTAACAAAGGGGAAAAGAATTGAAGGGCTTATTTCTAACGTGAGGAATCTCGGAGAAACACAACTTTTTAGGAAGGAATTTATTCACATTCAGCTTTGTAGTTCAAGATAGGATTCAACTATTTTCGAATAGCGTTTAACATAAGAGACACGCTATTTTTGTAAACTATATTTGGCAGCATGATCGAGAAACGCCTTGAGAATACATATATTGATTTGTAAAAGTAGACAACAAATGGAAATGGAAATATCTGAGGACGATGAAGTAATTTACTCTACATAGCAACATGATTTATTCAATTTTTTGTTACCAGGACCTGGAGATAAGTTTTTCTGCCGAAATTTGCCATTTTCAGGCGCACGTTTACGTTACTTTTCTTTCTCATGAAGTACCTTCGTAAAGACGAGAAAGTAAAAAACACAGGTAGCATCGTCATGTGCTTAATTTGAGGGAATACTGCCTAGCAGGAATAAGGTCAAGTGGTAACCATTTTGCATCCCGGATGTGAAACTGGGAGAGATAAGGTGAGATTATTCCTTTACTTTCTCGCACTTTCTGCGAAAGAAGAGAAAGTTATGTAATCACTTTCGCCTACCCGGATCCGGTGATATGTATGTGTTTCAAAAGAGATATTTTCGAATTGAATTATGGTAAGGTCTCGCTCTCTATTCATTTCCCGTATCCAATTTCACACATATTCATTTTACGGCTTTACATAAACGACTTTGTACTCGTATTTAATGAGTATTCGCATGAAAAAGAAACAATTTAACAAATTTAAAGAAAACGTAGTACGCGTACACACACAACATACGTGAAGTAAACGTAAACCAAAAAATCAACAAACCTAAAGAAAACCAGTCAATATTACCCATTTCTAATGCGGCGATAAATCGAAAGAACACTATGCAGCCTTCGACCTTGTGAGGGATGTCTATGATTTCATCAGTTGCCCAGGATATCGGGAAAAAATCAAAAACATCTCTGTTACTAATTTCCAATGTTCGCAGAGATGAAAGAAAACTATTTAGTCTCCGGTCACATGATAGGTGTCTAAGGTTTTGTGAGATACCCGGAAAATCCAAAAATGATGACAGTTTCGATTTTGACTGAAAATTGCAAATATTTTATTTTTTATTCCGCCTATCCTCATATTGCGCCTTCCGGTTGAATTCTCTTAGTTAGTGCGTCTCTGCTTATGAAACTGCTGATATATTTGATAGGACAGCGAGGGCTCAAGGAAGAGACGGTCCGTCATTAAATATTTACTGTTCACGTTTTGAATTATGGAACAGCAACTTTTTGATATTCTTGGTATGAAAATAACTATTGTATTCTGTACCGGTATACACTATTCTGTTGTTGCAACGTCGAGTGTATTTCGTTTGTTGTCCCTTTGCGTGTTTATCAGCATCATTTTTGCAGCTGGAGGCCACTAATTCAGTATTAAATGGGAAATACCCAGCTGAAACCAAGCAATACCCATTTGAGAGCCTGATCGGGGTGGGGGACTTGGAAGCCATGCCATAAGTCCTAGAGTTCTCGTTCGTTACCTCGGCAAAATTTATCTAAATATTTATGTTAGAACTATGTAGTAATTATTTAAAAATAATATTTTATAGTATCATATGCAGTATACACTGCCGGCCTGGACAGCCGGAGTCGCTAAGTCTAAAGAGCCGTACCTGCCACGGGCCTGAGAGGTCGCAGGTTCGAATTCTACCCGGAACATGAGTGTTGTGTGTGTTTGTATGTTTATTATTGTCCATCATCATCATCATCATCATCATCATCATTATCATCTTGTACTTCATGCCCCCAGGACTAACAAACCTGGTGTGTAAAAATGGATTCGGCATAGAACTGCTGATACCCTCCTAAAAAAAGTCATGAGCAGGTGCCACCGGGAAAATATGAATAGGCCTCGGTGGGTATATATGACGCGTTCGCTTGGTCCAGGGATGACCAATTCGCGACGATAAAAAAATAATACATACACTATAAATATACACTAAAGAGGTAAAAAACTGGTATAACGGCCTAGTATCGTGTAGAGTCCCCGAGAGCACGCAGAAGTGCCGCAACACGACGTGGCATGGACTCGACTAACGTCTGAAGTATTGCTGGAGATAATTGACACCATGTATCCTGAAGGGTTGTTCATAAAGTCGTAAGAGTACGAAGGGATGAAGATCTCTTCCCAACAGTACATTGCAAAGCACCTCAGATACGTTCAATAATGTTCATATATACGAATTTTGGTGGATAGTGGAATTGTTTAAATTCAGAAGAATGTTCCTGAAGCCACTCAGTAGCAATTTTGAACGTGTGGACTGTCGCATTGTCCTGCTGGAATTGCCGAAGTCCGTCGGGATGGACATGAATGGGTGTTTACGTACGTGTCACATGTCAGAGTCTTATCTAGACGTATCAGGAATCCCATATCACTCCAAGTGCACACTCTCCATACCAATACAAAACCCCCACCACCTTGAACATGCAGGGTCCATGAATTCATGTGGTTGTCGCCATACTCGTACACTCCCATCCGCTCGAAACAATGTGTCAGACCTGTCTACGTGTTCCAGTCATCAACAGTCCAATGTCGGTGTTGACGTGTCCAGATGAGGCGTAAAGCTATGTGTCGTGCAGTACATGAGTTAGCTTTCGACCCCGAAACCCCATATCGATAATGTCTCGTTGAATAGTTCGCGCACTGACATTTTTTGATGGCCCAGCATTGAAATCAGCAGCAATTTGCGGAAGGATTGTACTACTGTCACGTGTAATGTTTCTTCTCAGTCATCGTCCATTCCTCCACGATCTTTTTGCGGCCGCAGCGATGCCGGAAGTTTGATGTTTGACCGGATTCCCGATATTCACGGTGCACTCATGAAATGGTCGTACGGAAAAATCTAAATTATATCGCGACCTCGGAGATGCTATGCCCCATCTCTCTTGCGTCGACTAGAACACCACGTTCAAACTCACTTAAATCATGACAACCTGCCAGTGTAGTAACCAATCCAACAAGTGTGCCAGAATCTTATTGTCTTATATAGTCGCAGCCGACCGGAACGACGTATTCGGATTGGTCCCAGATCTCCTTATTTCAGTACTCATGGCTGTACCAGTTTTATTTGATTCTTCAGTGTAATATACAATATAATAATAAATAAGTTTATTATTTAATAAAAATCTATGATCTCCCCCCAAATGACCGGCAGGATTAGCCCCT